TTCCGGTGGACTGGCTCTACCCCCGCTCACCACCCGGGCAGCCGCGCCTGGCCCGCGCTCCCTCCCTCTCAGCGCGGCTGGTTTGGGAGCAGAAACAAAAACCAGAAAGGGGCAGGCCTTCCCCAGGTCACAGCCATCTGAGACTGGACCCCAATATATTTTGCATTTCCCCCTCCCGCACGGTGCACCTAGTTAGGCTGCCATCCTTGAACCTCTCCTTGCCCTCTTACTAGTTAGTATGTGCCTCCCGTCTGTGTATTTACTTTGGTTCACTAATTTCTGTCTCTGCTTTCTCTGCTCTTTTTCCAAGTTTTGTGAAGATTTTATATTTGTGCATTTTTTTTAAAAAATGGTTTTTTTTTTTTGTCCTAAGGATAAAAAGAATATATGCACACTGTAGAAAGCTTGGAAAACAGAAGAAAGATGGAGGGGGAAAAGTACCTTCCATCCTTTCATCCAAGTGTCAATAATCTTATGGTATTCCCCCCCCCCCCGCATTTTTCAAAAATTCTTTTAGTTGAAATAAAATCATATGGTGACTTCTATTTTGCTACATGCTTTTTTTTAATGCTTTTTTTTTTAACTTAGGGATTTCTTATGAACCTTTTCTCAATTCACTAATTAATTACAAGACGACTTCATCCTCTCCAAGGTGGCGTAGAATTCCATGCTAGGGAGGACTGCTGATGGACATCTAGCTTGTCTGCATCTTGTTGTTGTCATATAAGGTGCTAAGATGGACATCCTGAACACGCACTTCTCACTCACCCACTCCGTGTCCACTGCACCTTCCTCCTGGTTGGAGAGGTTGGGAAGCTAGGAGCTCAAGTTTCCCGGCCTTGTTTGCAGCTCGAGTTCTGGATGTGAACTAGCTGCTGCGAATTAGCAGTACCCCTGCCAGATGTGGAAGGTGGTGGGGAGAGTCCTGCCCCGTCGGGACATCACTAGCATGGTGGCAGGAATGTGAGGATTGTCTGCATTAGCCCTCCTGTCCCTTCCTCGGCGTCCAGCTGCATCTGTGGCTGCAGGTCCACTCCAGCTACCTGCTCTTTGAATCCGGCTTCAGGATGTGTCTTTGACCTACATAACCCCAGGTGGCCTCAGATAGTAATGAGGCTGGTGGGCCAGGTCCATCTTGTTCTGGGAGTTGGTCCTGAAGGGCTACCTAACGCCTGCTCTCCCTCTGGCCCTTCAGCAACTCTGTCAGCCCCTGATTCTCTGTAATAAATGCCTATCTCCCCATATTGTTCACAGTCTCTTGCTTGAACCTGACTGTTTCACATAGTTGTTTCTTAAGCAACATCTCTATGGAATCTTTTGTTACCATGTTATCCTTAGGATGTTCCCAGTCCTTGCTGCAAAGTTTAGTTGGTCACTAAAAGCACTACCTCTTGCATCCTGCCACATCTGTGCTCCAGTTTCCTGGCAATCCTATAGCCCTTGCAAAGCCCCTTCTCCCTCCCCCACAGCACATGGCCAGCCTAGAACTCCTTGGGCATTTGGCAAGGCACTCCATGGTGGATTGACTCAATGATTATTTGATCAATCATTAACAGGCCTCGGCAAAGGCAGTGAGTCCATGACAAAGCAAGCATCTACATTTGGTCAGACCGAATTTGAAAGCTGTGGCAGGTGAGAGAGGCCAGTGGCAGATAGGAAGTGGTCACCATGGGGAGAGGTTGGAGGCTGTGTTCTGTAAGGAGCAGCTGAAGAAATTGGGGGTGTCCACTCCTTAGAACTCAAGGGACAAGGTTATACCTTCCAAATCTCTGAAGGGTGAAAGCAGATATGGTCCTAGAAGGCAAAGCCAGACCAGTGAGGGGAAGTTACGGGGGGGGGGGGGGGGGGGGGGGGGGGGGGGGGGGGGGGGGGGAAATGCTGACAAAGCACAATTGGCTAAGGACGGAAGGGAGGGAGCGCCTTGAAAGGCAATGAGCCCCCACCTCTGGAGGAATACAAGGGGAATAGACAACCATTTGGCAAAATCTTATGGAGGGGAGTACCAGGTAAGGAGTGAACTAGACTTAGCTGAGCATCAGAATTGCCTGAGGAGCTTAAAAAAAAAAACAACTCCTTGAGTCTCACCTTCCAAGATTCTAAATTATTATATGTTGGTTGGGGCCCAGAAATTTTTTTAAGTTTCTACATGCTTCTGATGTGCAACCATATTTGGGAAACACCAGCCTAAGTGGTCTTTGAGTATTCCATGACTCCAACATAGACAGTTTTCAGAAACAGACCTGCCCAGTGAATGCTTTGTCTGTCTCTAGATTCCATTCAGCATGCCCAGCCTGGACACTTCCTAAGCCATGGCTGGCATCAGAACTCACCGCAGTAGTCCTGTCGCAAGACATTTGTAAAAGCATCAAAAAAAAAAAATTAAAAGACTAAAACTTTTCCACGATGCTTGACCTTTATGGTTTGGAGAGAAGGATGAATGTGCAGAGGCTGAGGGGGAAATCCACAAATTATTTTTGCAGAGAGGTTAACTATTTTTCAGGATTGTTTTGGATTCAGTTTTCTGGTTGTCAAACAAAGATCCAGGCCTGGGTAACTGATCCTGGGCCTGGGGCCACTGAGAGTGTTTGGACTAAAAGGATTGAAGGTGAAGGGGAAACGGTGAGATAACACAAGCCACAGTCAGGTCATTGTCAGCAGGAATGTCACCCAGGGATGTATTTACACTGGCCTGGTGGGGGAAGAGAAGCTATTTCTGGCCTTAAGCATTTTG